TATTGCATTAAGGTTGATAAAGCACCCTGCAGGGACAACAACAAGCCGCGCTTCACATGGCCTAATTATCACTTGAAAAGAACAAGCAAACAAAAGTCGCAGATGCCTTTGATTCAATTAAATATTACATAATCAAGAGAATTGAAACAATGAAAACTGTATCAGTTGTCGTCATCATCTCAAATGATGAGATTAGATGGCGCAGTCGATTGAGAATCAAATTAAAAGACGTCAATTCAATTTAACAATATAGTCTAAGCATAGTTAATTCACTTTAGACTACGATGACTGAATTAGGCCCATGATGTATTATGTTGAAAGAAATAAAGCGAGGAGATGCGTTGCCTTGATATATAGACATTTTTAGTCCAGTTCTAATGTTTACTTGCTGAGTAATATTAGAGAAATTAAATTTGGAGATAAAGTTTTGAAAATTAAAAAAACATAGAAATTGATAATTGATTGATTACTTAAACGTTGATAAACGTATTTATTCCTATTAGTTACACATTATTTATTTTACAAATTTAATCTCCCTTACATTACTCTTACTTGCCCAAAACATGATTTTAAATTTTGAGGATGTATTTGTATTTTGGGTATTTTTTTACATTACTCTTACTTGCCCAAAACATGATTTTAAAATTTGAGGATGTATTTGTATTTTGGGTATTTTTTTTTTCCTGTTAGAATTCCTAGCAACTTAGTATATCTTGGTAGACTATAACTGTACAACACTTTCAATAGAAAAGTTTGAAATTTTCTCATATTTTTTTAGCCGATTACAATTTTTTTATGTTTAAAGTTATCGTTTAATTACTGATTTGTTACTGAGGTGCTTTTATAAAAAATGAGTATAAAAAAAAGCTGAGCTCAAAAGGATGTGTGGTAAACACTTAAAAATAACTTATTTTCACAGTTTTAGATAAAAAAACTAAAAACGTGAAACAGCAAAAATGATCTTATTCTCACAGTACAGCAAAAACATTTTTTTTTTTCAAAACACAACATTATCAAACCAGTCATAAATTTATTCTCTTTATCACAGTACGACGGCAAGTAAAAATGAGTGAAAATGGAAATGGAAATGATGGTCTGATACAGTGCTACCAGCTCCCACCATTTGTCGTGTCCTTTGGAATCATTTTCAATCTACAACTGACTCGACAACATCCTTCATTTTCGATGCCCTTTTATATTGGCTGTCCCTCCGACACCTCACTTCAATTTTTGAAGAAATTTTTTCTTGGGATCGAAACACGGATGATATATTACGTGTTTTTATATAAGTGGTGAGAATTTATATATATTTTAAGTTATAAACTTTTTAACACATATATCCCATCATTTGTATAATAACATGTGATGTACTATTTCGTGTTCCCATCATATTAAAAAATCTCTCCAATTTCTATTGCTCAAGACTCAAACTCCTACTCCTAGATTATGTTATTATTTACCTCGGCAGCATAAAGTCCTCATGCGGATCACACAACGGGGCTAGTGAAGATGTTGCACAAAATGTCTTAAGCGCTAGTGGCGAGCTTTATGAGCCATTTTCAAGCTTTAAAATATGAAAGCAATTTACATAAAATAGATTTATTGTCACTGTAGTATTTTAATCAATAATGCAATGATATGTAAAATAAACTTAGAAATGACAATGTACTATGACCAGGGCTCCAAATGGCAATAAACTTGTTCCATAAGTCCCTTTCGTATAATAGAGTACAATAACATTTGCTTTATTTAGTAGCTCAACCTAAAAGAGAGTGAGTGTGATACGTTGTTAGATAGAAAGAGAAATTTCTAAATCCGTTATTGTCTGGTTTTTTCCGAATAAGAGCTACTTGTTAGCTTAAAAGAGTGGTTCATGAAAACAGTATGGGTGCATGCCACATGAGGGCAGACTGATGCAACCCAACAAGTAATGTCAAGGCTTGACCTAGCTAGCTAAGGGAGATGCTGTTAGACCATCTTCAACGGGCTCCTTAAATGAGCTTCTAAGTTTCTAACTAAATTTTAGAAAGGATTTTGAATAATTCATTTCTAATCGCATTCTTTATCCACCTCCTAAGAAAGGGGTTTTAGAAAATTTCGAATATAAGGAGTAAGAAAGGAGTTCCTAGCATTAATTATCAATATTTTCATAATATTTTAAGTAAAAACTCTATTCTTATTGATTCACAATCCTTATGACTCCCTAAACTAGATAGTACGAGTGAAGAATAAATTTTTAATGTTATTTCTTTTTACTTGTAACTTATAAGTGAGATGTCATAAGTTAGAGTTGCGTAAAATGAGGAATTAAATATAACAATGCAATGTGTGAGTACTCTTAAAACGAAAGTTTGCGTGTTATGAAAGTTGCCATCATGAAGAGCTTATTCCTTTCCCTCCTTTCATGTTGGCGGTCCCGCATGGGCGGTGACAAGGAGAGGTGACCAACAATTCAACAAACAACACGTGAAGAAAGGCTGACCCAACAATAAGCAACGTGGATAACTGTGTGGCTCGGACAGCCCAACCAATAATTTGGATCCGGCCCACCATACACAGCTAGTCAACATTGTCCTCTCGCTACTTTGTGGATTTCTCTAGTCATGTCACCAGCGTGGGATGCCGACCGAAATCATCTCCTTGCTTGCAAAAATCAAGAAGGATTATTTACACTAACAGGTTGTCTTCAAAAAATTAAAATGTCCCACTTCAAATTAACTTTGTCTCCCCCTTTATTTCGTTAACTCGATAAAAAATCATGATAAAATCGTCTTACATGCCACATGTATAATGTTAATTATAAAATATTTTATACTTTAAAAATGTTAAAAAAAGAAAACTTAAAATCAAGTGTGAAAGAAAGAAAAGAGTGGATTGAAGTTGGATTGGTGTTGGCAGTCGCAGCATGGCTCACGCTGGAGCCACTTGACGTCGATGTAGGTCTCGAGCACCACGTGAAGAGCTTCGTCGGAGAGGGAGTTGTAGCCCCTGTGTTTGGGAGTTGCGGAGGATGGCTCGAGGTGCAGTTGGATGGAGAAGGTGATGGAATTGACATGTTAACACATCAGCCAATTAATGGCCTTACTTTGCCACGTCAGAAGATTTAACGTAATTTTTTTTACCGAGTTAACCGAATGAAATAAAGAGAGGCACAAAGTTAGACATTCTGAAGATTAAGTGAGACATTTTGAGTTTCAGAAGGCAAAATGAGGCTAAAATTAAGTTTCGGAAGGCGTTGGTGTAAATCACAAATGCATTCGGAAGAAAAACTGAAAAAAATAATACACAATACAAATCAAAATAATTGTGTAGGATCATAAAACTCTGAATCTTGGATGAATGATAAACTGCCATAGTTATAGGAGTACTAAGTTAATAAGTCATACATGAAGCATTGGGAGAGAGCAACTGGCAAAGACTGAGGCAAGAGATATGGGTCACAAACAATCAATTCGGGTTCATACTATAGGGATAGGCAAGAGTATTTACACATGATCTTTATAGATTTGAAAAAAGTGTATGATAGGGTCTCAAGAGAAATTCTTTTGAGGATTCTAGAGGAGAAACGAGTACGAGATGAATTTATCCAAGCAATAAAGGATATGCAGTAAAAACTCATCTATTACTTTGTAGTGTAGTAGGGAGATACCCAAAGCAACCCTCATCCGCTGAGACAATAAAAAACAAAATAGAAGGGCCGTACGTTAACCTCAGGAGAAAATTCTCCATCAAACTGGCCATATTCCAAAGAGCAAGCAAACTTAAAATAAGAAGACGACATCAAGTGTAGAGTTGGATATAACTGGCATCAGCCTTAAACTAGGTTAGCTGGTGTCTGACTGTCTTCATTGACTACAAAAATATTGACTTGGGACAAAGTGGCAAACAAAAATATTGATTTGCAGTGGAATCTTATGTGGGAGAGTGAATTTTTTTCACCTTCACATTTTGTTCATAACAAGAAATAAGAATAGAAAAGGGCAGGTTTGGGAAATGACTCTTGGAGAAGAAAGGTTCCATCCACCACTTACTGGATGGAATCTTTAAATCTGTTAAAATCTGTCTAAAACTAGTGAAATGGTAAGAAAAGAGGCAGTTTATACCCTTGGGAAAGCATTTCTCTTCCAACCTTAAATAGGAACTTCAACATAGATGGAAAGGTACAGGTAGCATTGTAGCTACGGTTAAAGTGCCTTACAATGAGTGGTTTGATGTCAGATTTTTAAGTTGATGTAACGTATTTCTGAACCCAAACAAGACCTATACATTGTCCCCATAACCCTTCACAGAATCACACTCTCCTGCTAAAACTCTAGAGCAGTAGAACTAAGAGGAACCGCAACCTCCAAAGCATAACAATCAAGAATGAATGCAAAACCTAGAGACGTTTGTTCTGAGGTAAAAAAACATATTCAAGAACAGAAATGAACAACAAGGGCCTCACAAATAGAATAGTCGAATAGATTTACTGACATGCATCACTCTGTAACACATACACGCAAATGTTAAGGGAAATAACTTTAGTTATGATTCCATAGACTGGTTAGCATAAAAGGCAAGTAAGGAATGCTCTAAAGTTGAAGGTATCAACCAAGCAGGATGTGATGTTCACTGATGAATACTGAAATCCTGGGATGTTTTTGGTGCACAAAATACAGTTGAAATGAGACTTCAACACGAGAAATCAGACGAGCGCAATTCAAAATCAGAGAGAGAAAATTATTAAATAAAAAAGTGAGCAGATAGACGACGAATTTACTGGCCATGCATCAAGCGAATAAAATGTGCACCAAGTACAACATCAATCAAACCAATTCAAATCTTCTTCTTTATTCCTTGTGAGAACATCACATCTCCAGTAAACCAAGGTTTTACTAAATTTTCATATCCAGACGCTGATGTCAAAATTGCGACGTATATTCATATTCAGGCACATGAAACGACCCTCAAGGTCTAACTTTTTCGGTCAGTTTAAATTTGTGTAACTGTAAACTTACAAGTATTCAAAATTGAACTTTATTGCAACATATACAAAAGGTATTTAAGGGGTAACATTCCAACTGATAACACTTCGAACAACACTATTATAGTGTAACTCGGTAAACGATAACTTACAAACTACTCATCCGGTTTTCGAGCTTTATTCTTGTTGCCGTATATCAATCCAGTCTCCTGAAACGGAATTCAAGTTGTAATTTGAAGTATTTGGCAAGCAATTGAAAAACTCAATCATAATTTTTTTCACTTGAAACAGCAGAAACTCAGATATGAAACAGTACCTGAGGATCGGCGATGGGTTTCCGTTTCTCTACGTAGGCATGGGGATCCGCAGAGGCCAGAGCAGCCCTTTCCTGCTGTTCCCGCTTGAGGTCCTGTGAGGGCTTCACCCAGAGGAAGTAGGCTAGCGTACCAGCCACCACCCATGACGCCAGGTTGCTTCCTCCTCTCAGGCCTCCCGTCGAATTCGATACGAAGGACCTCACATTTCCCAATCTTCTCTTCCAGGTGCTCGTCATTGCTGTCAATTTCGTCGTCTCTCTCGCCGATATGGGGATTTATAGGGTTTTTTTTAATTTCTCTGATCCCCTTTGCATGATATATGCTATCTACAAACCGTAACGCCGAAACGGTGGAGGCAGGAGGGCCTCCTCAAGTAAACAACAATTTTAGGCCTCTTGGGCCACTCTTTAAGTTGGTTGGACTGGGCCTCTTGGATCACTCTTTTAAATTACTTAATGGATTCAACGGTCGGAAATAGTTAAAGAAGAATCACATGAGAAAGACCTTTATAATCGGTGATTATAATATTTTGATTTCTCCAAACCCTTTAGCATGCCTCTTTTTATGTTTATATTTGTTAACCATGGTCCATGGGTCCACTATTTAAGATTAATAAAATTATCTTTAAGCAATGACCTTGCTCAAGCTAATCTATTGTATCGTCTTAAATTTTTATTACCACAATAATCGATTTTAGGACATACATTCGAAGTTCCAATAATCTTTCACTTGCACTAAAAATTAATCAGTGTTTCATTAAACCAATGACAAATATACCAAAATTTTCAAATTGCTAACAGAAGAAGTATGATAAAAGCACTGGATATGCACGTCGTCATTGGAATAGAGCGTGAGTAAACCGTAAAACATCTATGAAGGACGGAGAGAGAATATGTTAAAGAGAATATTGTCCTTATAACGTGTTACAGAACGAAAAAGTGATCTTCTATCAAGAATATTGTTATTCTTTCCAACTTTGATTGTAATTGTATTGGACAATAAGAATATTATTATACTGTGAAATTAATTAATAAAATAAATAGATCTATTTGGAAAGTACATCTTCAGCACTATTTTCGGAAGTCTATTAATTAAATAGTATAGAGTATGGATCTCTATATCTATATTCGATATTTAAAAAAGAAAAAGAAAAAGAAGAGAACAACGGGTGGCAAACGACGGTTATCCACCCCTTTTGGGAGCTTGAAAGATTCACAGAGGCATTTCAGCCTTCCCTGACCACAAGTCTGGCTTCCACAACAGCAGGGTTTTCGAACCCGAGACCTCCAATTTTTAGTATTTAAATATCAATGCATTACATTTAAGAGTACAACTAGAGAGGGTTCAATGGTCAACCTACCCTAACTCAACCTTTACAATTCGGGTTTAGGGAATAATGCGGTTTTAGTCGGGTTTTAATTAGATTCAAGTTTATTCGCGTTGGGTTTAGGTTCATCTAACTTTATCGAGTTCAATCTTATAACACCTAATTTTGCATGATTTTTTAAATTTGAACCAAACAACGTTAATATTAGTGAAAATTTCATTTACACATCATCATCCACACAAAAGCTAAAACAAACAAGTTGGAGACTATTTCTAATATTTCAACCATGCAAGGTTGAAAGTCAAATTATAAGACGTACCAAAACTTCAACCAGCAAAAATGTAAAAGTAACACTTTCATCATTATCCTTATGAAAAAAGACAATAAACCTTACATAACTTATATAATATGAAATGGGATGGGTAATATGTGCATGAGCGAATTCGGGCTCAAAATCAGGTTGAGTTTTGGTTGACATGGGCGGCCAATACATTCACCCTACCCAACCCAATAAATGACAGAGTTGAGGTTGGCTTGGATGTGGACGGGTTTTTCTTCATTCTAACTTGCTCGATCGGATTTAAAATCGAGTTAAGTATGTGCAGATTTGGGTTGACCAAACCCAAGTTGCACCCTAATTACAGTTATTTCAATTTGATTTTATATGCACACCATGTGTGGAAGTTGCTCGCATTTTATTATCTATCTATACTATCCCTTTTAGGTTCTATTATTTCCAAAGACGAATTTGAACCACATTATTGTTAACTCATGGTGAGGCTAAGCCCACCCTTTAATGTAGATAATATCGTTCGTTAAAAAAAAAAAAAAAACTAATAACAATTTAACTTTTGGGAATATTTATGTCAAACAATTAAATAAGCTATTTAAACCCTATAAAATTGTTGTATTGTAGACTATTAGATGGATGATTTAGATGTGGTTTTCAGGAGAATTTATCTTTAGCAATTTTCTGCACAAAATGTAGGTTTCGTAGCATCATTAGTCATACAAATCTTTATTGTGTTCTAGAGAAAAGAGGAAAAAGAAAAAGGTTGCGTGATGGTACATCGCACATTCGCACTTAATACGTCCAGTGGGTTTGCACATGGGTGGGCTGCCAATAATATAAGCCGAACCGAGAGAGGAAGTAAAGGGAGTGGGTGGGTGTTGACTGTTGAGAGAGTGAGAGAGAGAGAGAGAGAGAGAGAGAGAGAGGTCGGAGGTGTGTGTGATAAAAAATGGCGGTTGAGAAGGGAAGATACTGTGTAACAGGAGCTGGAGGGTTTCTTGCGTCGTGGGTTGTTAAGCTTCTTCTTTCCAAGGATTCTATTGTCCACGGAACCCTCAGAGACCCCTGTATGTATCCTCTATCCAACCATTTTCCTTTCTTTCTTTCTACTGTTTGCACTTGCAGTGACTACTGTTCCATCGATCGTAGGACAAGATATATCTGTTTTCATTTTCATTATCTGCTACTTTGATACTCGTTTGATGCTTAATTATTTAGAGGCTGCTTGATTATCATTTCGTTTTTCAATTTTTTCAATTTTCCTTTTTTTTTTTTAAACTAAAAAAAATACTGAAAACGTGTTCGGTAACTATTTGAGTTTTTTTAATTTGGCAAGCAGTTACCAAACATGTAATGAAAACTAAAAACTGGCATAGTATCGAACGGACCTTTAACAAGATAAAATGCTCAGTTCTTAAATTCTAATGATTTTGGCTATAATTTTGTTGGTGTGATATGCTTGATTACAAGTAATGTAAACACAAAATGAACAAATTTCTTGATTGAGTGGAAACTGGCTCAAAGAGTGTCAGGAAGCGGAAATCGTTGATGATTAATAGTACTGTATTTGTGTTGTGCACAAACGCAGCTAATGACAGGCACGCCCACTTGAAAAAACTTGACAAGGCATCTGAGAACCTTAAACTATTCAAAGCGGACTTGTTGGACTATGAATCCCTTCGCACAGCGATTCAAGGTTGTGATGGAGTGTTTCATGTTGCCAGTCCAGTTCCCTACGACCCTGTGCCAAATCCTGAGGCAAGAATTTCTCTCATTCATTGATCACCGAGATACTCGATCTCAATTGCAATAGATTAGTTAGTAGTTAGTACACTCACTTCTCTTCGGTTATTGCTAATTAGTATGGTACTCTATTTGTGGTTGGTACCATGTACAGTTTTATTATGCCAATGTATGCTAACCAAATAAACGCTCATATTTTCCTACATTTTGATTTATCGTTTGTCCAGGTAGAATTGATTGAACCTGCCGTGAAGGGAACACTTAATGTACTTAAAGCATGCCTTGAAGCAAAAGTCAAGCGAGTTGTTTTCGTGTCATCTGCAGCTTCTCTTGTCATGAATCCTAAGTGGTCTCAAGGCCAAGTGTTGGATGAAACTTGTTGGTCAGACAAGGAATACTGCAGAAGTAGTAAGGTATTCCATTAACATATATATGTGATTGTAGTTCTAGAATGAACTCATAATTTTGGTGATCAATGCCACGCGTAGTAGAACTAAGAAATAGGAACACGCATTCACAACTTTCCTTTAGGATCCAGTTAGCAGTGTTGATTCTTCACCGAGGATACCAAGAGAAAAGGACTTCCCGGGATTATGTTTTAATTCCCCAAGAAATATCGAACAATTAAAAAGGAAAGGAAAGTGTATTATTTATTCTATAATGACGAAAAATGGAACTTTAACGAAAAACTTATGGTATTGTTCACTTTAACGAAAAACCACATTTTCACACTAAAAAGTCAATCCTGGTACTATTTACTTTACCTTTTATTTTGTCCTTATCGTTAAACCTCAAAGTTTTTTAAGCCATTTTCATTAGTTTTCCTACATAACCCATAGAGTTAGAATGATTAAAACAATATCAATAATCTTCACTAAAACAAGAAAAGGGAAAGAATGGAATTTGCCAATGATGGTAAGTTTTGAGATTCACCTTCAAAATAATAAACTGCACACATTTCAGTATCATAACAAACTATTTTCGAAACTGAAATTGAAATTTACTCTATAATGGTCAAATCTTGTTTTTCAATAGTCCTATGCAATGAAAAATATATGTTGAATATCATCTCGTGCGGTTCTTAAACTTTCGCTCATGGTTTTATCCAGTATTTTCACTTTTGGTAGAGAATTGAAATGGCGCAAATCCATTTAGTGTGATGAAATCATCTAGCTATTCATTCTGCAACACTGCACTCGTAAAGTTATTTCAGTGTGATTGTATCATTTCATATGTGTGTTTCGACTATCTAATTATTTCTTTAATCTTCCAGAATTGGTATTGTCTTTCAAAAACTGAAGCGGAATATGAAGCCCTGGAGTATGCAAGAATAAATGGGCTTGACTTGGTAACTGTTTGTCCTACACTTATTATGGGGCCAATTCTACAGACCACTGTAAATGCAAGCACCTTGGTCCTCATCAAGCTTTTGAGGGGTACTTACTTTTGACATAACTACTTGATGCTGAATTAAATCCCTTGCTTAATTTGTTAAAAAAAAATTAAATCCATTTCTTTAAAATCAAGGGTTTTCACAAATAACCCCTATAGAATTCCATTTCACAGTTAAAAATTGATAGGTCAGGGATTTGTTTTCTATAGTTTGATTCTTTAAATTTTTCTTACTACCATTAACAGTTACACGCCTTACATAATTATGTGTCAAATCTACATATGTTTAGATAGATAGGTAGGTGGGGTTGTAAACTCATCCTTTGGTATTTGTCTATTGTGGTTGTTTATGCATTTGGCTCCATTTTGATCTCTATGACCCAGGATACAGGTTTATCCCCCAGTCATGAATATTCATATTAACTGATTTAATATTGTCTCCTCGCAGAAGGATATGAGTCACTGGAAAACAAGCCGCGGATGATAGTTGATGTGCGGGATGTAGCTGAAGCAGTCGTTATGGTGTATGAGAAGCCTGAGGCTGAAGGAAGATACATATGCACCGCTCATAATATCAAAACGACAGATCTGGTTGAAGAGTTGAAGAGCATTTATCCTAATTACAGTTATCCTAAGAAGTAAGGTTTCTCTTCAATCTATACTTGGTAACTAGAATGGAGAGATTTTCAAATGAGTTATGTATATAGTGTGATTGATCATCGATGTCATCCAATGCAAAATTAAGCAGAATGGACAGGGATTCTTGTTGTAATGGTTTTCCGTTTAAACTAATTTTATGATTTTGGATTATACATGTATATTGGCAGCTTTGTTGAAGTAGAAGAACGACCAAGGTTGAGCTCGGAGAAACTTCAGAGGCTGGGTTTGAGTTTCCGACCATTGAAAGAGACGCTTACTGACTCAGTTGAAAGCTACAAGGAGGCTGGGCTGCTCTGATACTGAACATCTCAGAGCGTGCTCTACGTAGCTAACTACATTGTTTGAAGTTACACATCCGACAATCGAAGAGGAAAATTTGGCTTAATTTGTTGCAGTGCCGTTTAGGTTGGTGGAGTCCGAAATATATGTTAGTTTTCTGTCTTATAGCTACTGCCCAGTGATAGTTACCAAATAATATTTCATATTTTTGTGTTTGTTGAGAAAACAATGTTTTGGCTTTGGCCTTTATGATCTTACTCATTCGACTTGTTCAAATGGAAATAAGCTATTGACGGATATTTCTCAGGTTCTCCCTTGGGGTCCCAGATTAGGTGTTTATTGTTTGGAGTTGCTTGAAGGTGTGGAATAATATTCACTCGCATCGGGCATCTTATAAAACAAACTAAAATTTATATCAAATGGTTTCATTTTTAATTGCGTTAGTGACAACCCCCTCACTTATTGGATTGGACAAATGAATAAGTTTGAGATAGTATTAGTGTTTATTGAATTCCACAAGTGATTAAGTTTGAGACAATATTAATGTGATTTATAGTGGACTGGTGGCTCCACTCTCAAAATTTTTAACATAAGGGTCATTGTCTAGCACTTACTATGCTTAGCTCATCACGTCCTCGTTCATGTCTAATTAATTAGATGACAATACACCAATGAATAAGAGTCTCTTATTTAGTGAAATTAGTTTTCTAATTATGTTTTAATAGTGATGGTGATCCGGTGATCCGGCAAAATACTTTGGACAGAATTTCAATTAGAATCTTCCGTTGATGTTAATGTTAAACAATAATACGTAAATGACGACAAAGATATACCAACTGGCTATAGCCGGAGACAAAAGCTCGTTACCTATCATTTTTTGACACCGTCATGGACCTATCATTAGTTTTGCAGTTATTTGTGTTTTCTAGTTGGGGTTTATTGAAAAATTGCTTGATTGATTAGGGGTTTAACAAGTCAAATTTGGAGATTGGTAGGGTAACGCTTTCTTGTGAGATTGTGTCACAACGGTAGTCCGGAAAATGATTTCAACATTTATTTTTTCCTGTTGCATTCTTCTATTTATTTGTGTTTTTTAATTCTCGTTTAATTAATTAGTCATAGATAACTATGAGTTTATGTAGACGTGAAAATTTGAATGGGACCATGAAGTATCTATATGGTGCAGTATATATCTTGACATTTCAATGTTTTAGGTGGTAGGCTTTATAAAATGTAATCAGAGTCATGCAAGTGACAAACATTGACTTTGTGATTGCCGAAAAAGTGATGTACTTAGTAAATGGATACAACAAGCAAGTGAAAGGCAATCTTGACTCGTTTTGTGGACGGTGGAAATCTTAGCTTGCAAACCGAGTGTCAACACAATATGGCAAAAGTTTTAAATATATATTTTCTGTTTTATTCTAACTAGGTTATGTGCATGTGCAAATGTGTATTTGATTGAACGTTTATCTACCAAAAAAATTTAGTCACTAGAGAGAAAAACAAAGAAAAAAACTCATCGCCTTGTATCCTAAAGCCAAAGGCAAGGGTCGTTGGTAATCCCTCTTGGTCCCTTCCATTTATTTCCCATGTTTCTTCCATCTTCTAATCATCTTTGTCTCTTATTTGATGTAGTGTATGGGAATAAATGGCTGGTTGGGTCTTCTCATTTATCAATGCCATTGTTTTTCATCTCTTTTTATTGAGTTGCCCAGTAACTGTTCTAATATTAACTATTTATCCAACCAATGCTTTATAATCTTCCTATGTATCGGACTCCATATGTATCTTTAAAGAAGTTATTTAGTGAATTTTAAAAATTATATCTAAGAAGTGAGTCATTTTCTCCTCTGAAAAGCGTTTGACTTGGTCTTGTCGAGCGAATGTGATTAATTAGCGATGTCGAGCAAGTGGTCGCCCATCGCGGATATTATGTCAAATTGAAGCCTGTGGAGAATGAAGCAATATTCATACCTTTGTTGGAGTGTAGATATGACTGGAAAACCTTGAATTCATCAGTAAAGTCATGGATCGGCGAAAAGGGTGTACCTTGTCGTGTCTTTAATAGAGTTCGAACGTCAAATCTAAAGCTCGGAGTTTGTAGCCCAAATTGAGGTTACTGTAGTGGAGGCAGTCGTCGACGTTGAGGTGAACGAAGAAGGGAGATCGTCGGCGTCAAAGTCTCGGAATTCTTAGGACTCGATCCACCACGAATGAGAGAGAAATGACCATGCGGACGAGAGGAGTCTATCCCATATGGTGGCTGAGATCATCGTCGACAAAATTCACTGGAATTGGCGTATGAAAGTTTGTGCAGAAACAGTCAAAATCAAAAGAGATTCTGAGGCAACCAAGTCGACCTGCGTAGCCGTTTTCTAAAACGAGAAGGGCTCCATTCCTAAATCTGGGACCTTCCATACATAGGGGTCCAAAAGATAAAATTACCCCTTTCTTTGTTTCCTTATTTCTCCTTTGTTAACATTCCAACTCGCGATCGTTTTTTGTCCACACGTTCGTGGAATTGAGTTCTATTCGAAAACACTAAAAGTGACTAAAAGAACCTTATAGATTTTTAATGACTAATTACGAAAAGAAAGTGAATTTGCGTAAATACATAAAATTAGATAGTGACATATGGAAAGGGGATTTCACACCTTCATTATTACCATGGAAAATTCAGCAAGTTGCACTGTTGTAGCATTCAATATTGCTTTGGAAAATTCAGCAAGTTGTTATAAGAAATAACTTCGTGGCATCACCTACATCACTATTTCACCAATAAACATTCACCACGTGGGCATTCATCTTTTGTCAAAACATATACATAAGACTCCCCCCTCCCCCACTTTTCCCACCGCATATATATATATATATATAGATAGAGAGATCAATCATAAGAGAGGTGGGACTGAGAGGAGTAAGGGAATTAGCTAGGTTGAATATATAACTTGGTAAGAAGATATACAGCAAGTAAAGAGATGGCGGGTGAGGCGGCTGATCAGAAAGAAAAAGTATGCGTGACTGGAGCTGGAGGATTTACTGCCTCTTGGGTCGTCAACCTCCTTCTCTCCAGGGACTATGTTGTTCATGGAACTGTCAGGCAACCAGGTCAGTCACTCCCATCACTCATCGTATATATAGTATAATATTAATTGTATATTTTCAGTGAGAAGATTGGACCGAATTGAGAAATAAATAAATAAATAAATAAATAAATATTGCGCGCGCATGCAGGAGACATCAAGTATGCTCACTTGAACAAGCTTGAGAAAGCATCAGTGAACCTCAAACTGTTCAAGGCAGATTTGTTGGACTACGACTCTCTTCGTTTGGCCATTGAAGGTTGCAGCGGAGTCTTCCATGTTGCCAGCCCTGTACCCAATTCTCTTAATGATTCAGACCCTGAGGCAAGAATCTTCCAGATTATGTTATCTTAATTAATTGAGTTATGCGGGTAAATTAAATTTGTAAACTAAATTTGCAAACTAAGTGATGTATTGCTAATAAGAAAAAACATGTTAATCAAAACTTAACTAATAATTTAATTGTCAACTTTTGTCATTTAGCTTATAAAATTTAATCTACACATTTAATCTTTCTAACATTACTCTAATTAATTAATACGTGCCTCACTCAACTTATACACATTTAATCTTTCTAACATTACTCTAATTAATTAATAAGTGCCTCACTCAACTTAATTTAGTTAACTATAATTGTTAAATTCGACCTGTTGCTTTGATTCATTAATGAATCCCATATTTGAAAACATATTTTGAAAAAAAAAAAAATTGAAATTTGAAGGTCAAATTTTGAACACAAAATTTAAATTTGAATGCTTATGTGGCATATTGATATTTTTATAAATTTTGTTCTCCAACCAATATGTCAAATTTAAATTATTATTTATTACATTATTTACTTTTTATAGTTGTGATCAGTGGCGGATTTAGAATTTTAAACCCGAAGGGTCCCAATAACAAAGGTAAAAAAAATTATAGATTAAAATAACATTTAAACGTTAAATTATAATACATTTTATTGATGAATCATACGTAAAACAACATTACAAGCTATAAAATCTAATTCAAGCATCTACGACCAAGTTTCGTAGTCTAAAAATGTTCCATTTGCAAATATACTCTTTGAACCTCATCTTGAATATTAGGAGGATAATCCTTCATTCGAATTCTTTTTCTAGGGTCTCTCTCAAGATTATTCAAATGAATATCACACTCATTTGTCTTGAACTTGAACTACCCAAACAAATAGATTGTGATATTGGTTTTGGCTTGAAATTTTTTTCCATATTTCTTACCTATACACTACATATTAATAAAAAAAAAAAAACACAAAAACATATACTAATTAATCAATAAACAAAATTCCAATAATTAAATGAGTATACAAAAATAAAATATATCAATAATCATATCAATAATAGATTATAAAATCTCCATCAATATATAATATAATTTAGTTGAGATTAGATTAGAATACCAAAAATTCTTATTTGAATTTTGAACCAAATGGTGGTGTTGTGGAGATTTAAAACAAATTGAGATATGATATAATAGTAAAATTAAAAAATATGAGATTGGGTGGGATTTAGGATTATGAGAATTGGGAAATTATGGATTGGATATGTGAAAATTGGGGGTTTCAGGTTTTGGATGGGGGAAGGGATGGTAAGGTATGTGGATTCAGGAAGAGTGACGGAGGCCTTGGGGAATTAAACAAAATGGAAGCAAACGGCAATGTTTTGGGCTAAGGTTGAAATGGGCAAATTTTCTTTCTTCCTCTGCGCGGTCTTCTTCCCCATCATGACGCCGTTGCTGCAACTGCACAGAGTTCGTCCGAGTACGAGGGGTCCCGAAAAATTTCAAGCAACGATTTAGGCGTCTTCGAGGGGTCCTGGGACCTTCCAGGTTCCTCTGTGGATCCGCTACTAGTTGTGATTAGTATTTTAAAACAAAAGATAACTATTAAAATTATAAAAAGTATTTATTAATTACTAAAAATAGATTTGAAGCTGCTGTCAAATTTGATAGCAACTTCCTCTGCTGCCTTTCCATGTTATGCCACATGACACTTCGGTTGGAAAACACTAATGATGTCTTTTATAACTGTTATTACTGATATGGACTTTTTGACATCTCCTTTGGAGATGCTCTAATGCTTGTGCACCCTTTTTGAAGGAACATAATTATCTCTACACTTATAATTAGCATATTTTACTTTACAAAAATCATAACTGGAATCATTTATTCCCTTTATATAATCTAAATATCATATCCACAAAAAATCATTAAATGTGAAGGTCTTCTAGTCATTGCCATGCATCAATCAAAATAACTGTTCATCATGAAGATGCTACTTGTTATCAAAACCGTCGATTGGTTTAACATGTATGAATGGCTAAAAGACATTTAAATTGAATGATTTTTAGAGAATGATAAATAAAATGAACGGTTCCAATTTTGATGTTCATACGATGAAAATACCTTAATTGTAATTTTTTTTTTGGGGGGGGTGGTTGAGAGGGAAGGAAGTTCTCTTACGAGAGGAACACAAACATTATCCCTTCAGTTTTGAGTAAAAAGCTGAAATTGTAGAATAAATGAATGTGTTGCAGGAGTTTCTTGAACCAGCAATAAAGGGAACGCTGAATGTACTCAAGGCTTGCAAAAAGGCCAAAGTGAAGAGAGTTGTAGTTGTGTCGTCCATAGCCGCCGTCGTTATGAACCCGGAGTGGCCTAAGGATCAAGTCAAGGACGAGACTTGTTGGTCCGTTCCCGAATATATAAAAACAACCAAGAAATGGTACTATCTTTCGAAAACAGAAGCAGAACGCGAGGCACTGGAGTTTGGAAAAAGAAATGGACTTGAGGTTGTGACTGTTTGTCCTTCTATCATTTTGGGGCCAATTTTGCAATCCACTCTCAATTCCAGTAGCTCTCTCATTGTTGCGACTATAATTGGTATCTCTGTGCATATTCATATATTAAGATTACTAGGTACAAGACATGTTTCTTGTTTGTGCAATATTAATGTACTATTGTGTGTGTGTGTGTGTGTGTGCACGCACGTGCGCAACTCTGTACGAATGTGTAGGTGGTCTTGAGTCCTTGGGATGCAATTACTGGACGTTCGTGGATGTTCGTGATTTAGCTGACGCGCTGCTTCTTGCATACAACAAGCCTGAGGCTGCAGGAGAAAGATACTTATGCAATTCACACTCAATTGGCATACGAGATGTGGTGGAGAAATACTTAAGGCCTACATATCCCTACTACAAGTACCCCAAGAAGTAAGTTAATCAATTAGATCAGTCCTTCAATAATTAATTATGGTCTTTTTTTTTTCAATTCATCCTTCTGTTTGCTTGTGTACCTTAACGATTGATCCATATTCATGTTATTAAGATATGTTACCGGTTGTATTGGCAGCCTTACCTATGCAGAGGAAGAAGTTCAACACCTTAGTTCCGAAAAATTGCAGAAGTTGGGTTGGACTTTCCGGCCAGTTGAGGAAACGCTTAATGATTCTATTGAAAGCTACCGGAAGGCTGGAATCGTGGGTTAGGAAAAGTTGACAGACTATTGTATGTGTACTGTATTTTACTCCCTAGCTAGCTAACTAGCTACTCTTAGACTTTTAGTATTCAGCCTGCTTTGCACAATCACAAACAAAATAATAGTTCTGCTTAGTAAGTATGAAAAGCAGCAGTGTTTGCTACTGGCTACGCTTATGCTTCATATAGGTAGAAAGTTACGTTATGCTCTCGTCTTGATTCCTACCCTATATGTTTGGGCCGTTTTAAATTCCGTCCGGATCTAACACCTGCGAGCCTTGCACGATGGGGGGTTTTCGGCTCAAGTGTGAATTAGGCTTATTTCTAGCTAAATCTCTATAGTATTTAATTTTAATCTTACTTTGTTTCTTGTGAGAATGTAAAGGTAAAAAAGTTTTACATTGGTGACAGGAAAAACCTTGCAAGAGCTTATAAGAGGTTGAGCTACTCTCCATATTACCAATTGGTTTTATGGTAAAACCTCAACTTTCTTCATGGTATCAAAGCAGGTTGACCCACATTTAAAGCCCAATGGCTACATGTGCTCCACGTCACCCAATTCGTTTTATCCACGTATTTGGCTTGAAAATTCGCCACACATAAGGGGGCGTGTGACAATGTGAAGGTAAAAGAGTTTTGCATTGGTGAAAGGAGAAGCCTTGCAAAAGTTTATAAGAGGTTGTGTTAGTTTCCATATTGTTGATTGATTTTATGGTGGAACCTCAATTTTTTTCACCTCCTATAACTCAAAGTCTTTATTTTACTCTTTGAAACTCAAAATTTGCTCTATTTTGCCCTTGAAACTCGATAGTGATCTCATTTTGCATTCTTAAACTCAAAAGTCGTCATTTTATTTACTTGTTCCACATTCCCTTAATTATGTTAATTCATTATGTGGGTTTGATTTGTATCCACCAAACTAATCATTTTTTCCCCATCTTTGCGTCTCAAGCACAGTAACCTAAAAAATTCTAATTCTTCTTTTTTTAAACTTTATATTTTATGATTGTTGAATGTTAATGCATTTATAATCAAATTCATTGGTACATGTGGCATAATTATATTGGGTGGTGGGTCTCCACATATGTACCAAATAGTGACTTTTTGGTTTTAGGAAAAAAAGATAGTTTACAAATCAAAGTGAAAAGATTTTGATTTTTAAAAAGTAAAATAATGATTTTTAAGTTATCAGGCAAAGTAAAATTGAAATAAGCATGAGAAGTACTTCATTAGGCATAGACCATGTTTTCGTGGTCTAGTGTGTGTATTCAACTCCTTTTGAGATTGACCTTCAAAATCATATCCTGCAGATATTTCATAATCATGACAGACTATTTTCGAAGAATTAGGATCCTTTCCTAATTTAAGGATGAGGATTCTCATGACCAAGAGATATGGACCGTTGGAGATATTTCATAATCATGACAGACTATTTTCGAAGGATTAGGATCTTTTCCTAATTTAAGGATGAGGATCCTCATGACCAAGAGATATGGACCGTTGGATAAAAATCCAACGGTTATAATTATTATAACCTTAAAGAGATCCCCCTGTTTGTAGCCGTTAGATAAAAATTCAACGGCCCACATCCCTTGGTCATGAGGATCCTCATCCTTAAATTAGGAGAGGATCCTGTCCATTTTCGAAACTAAAATTGAAATTCACTCTGTAATGGTCAAATCATGTTTTTCGATAGTCCTATGCAATGATAAAAAAAAAAAAAAAAAAAAAATCTATTGAATATCATCTCGTTCTTGAACTTTTGCTCTTAGTTTTATTCAGTATTTTCATTTTGGTGGAGATTTAGAATGACGCAAATACATTTAGCGTGGTGATATCATCTAGCTGCAACACTGCATTGGTAAAGTTATTTTAGTGGGATTGTATCACTTCATGTGTGTTTTACCGTATTTATTTCTTTAATCTTCCAGAATTGGTATTGTCTTTCGAAAACTGAAGGCGAATTGTGGCCCTGGAGTAGGCAAGAAGAAATGGGCTTGACTTGTTAACCGTTTGTCCTACACTTGTTTTTGGACCAATGCCGCAGTACACTGTAAATGTAAGTACCTTGGTCCTAATCAAGCTTTTGAAGGGTACTTAGTTTTTTTTTTGGTAAAAAAAGGGTACTTAGTTTTGATATATAGTAATGTTAGGGAGATTAAAATTTTTAAACTAAATGATGTATTACCAATAAGAAACAAACACGTTAATCTATACTTAATTAATAATCCAATTATCTACAACTACATCATTTAGTTTATAAATTTGATTTTAAAATTTTGATTTTCCTAGCATTACTCTTTGATATTACCACATGACGCTTATTTAAATCATTTTCTTTAAAATCTAGGGCTCTTCACAAAAATAAGCCCCTATGGAACCCCATTTTACCACGACCAAAAAAAAGAACTCCATTTCACAGTTAAAAAACCACTTAAACTTGGTAGGTCACGGATTTGTTTTTCTACAGTTTGATTTTTGAAATGTTTCTTACTACCATTAACCATTACGGGCGCTACCCTAATTATGTATAGGATCTAATTATGTTTAGATATATAGGTAGGTGGTGTTGTAAACTCTGTTGAAGATATATGACTATTGCTACATCATTTGACACATCATCACATTTAGATAGGAATGCCACATCAACTATTGTAGTCCGTTAGTTTGTTAAAAGTTAGTTACATTGATTGCTTAGCTGACAAGCTACATTCGACTGCTATATAAGCTTGTATTGATAGGGGTGGGTTTGGTTCCGTTCGGTTCGATTTTTGGCCGAAACCAGAAACCAAACCGAAGTTACTGTACGGTTCGATTTTTTTTGGTTTGGTGTTTTTTGGTTTCGGTTTTTTCGGTTTGGTTTCAATCTAGTTCAGTTTCTTTCATATGTTTTTTTTGCTTTTTATTTTTTTTTATAAATATGGATATTGGTAAACTAGCCTAAAAAAGGACCTACCAAACTAGCCCAAAAGACCCGACAAACAGTAAGGGCCCAAGCCATAAAATACAACAAAAGAAAACCTAGGCTTCCATTGCAACACCCGCCGCTGAGCATCCTTACTAGCATAAACCCTCGCCACCAACCAACCGACGCCTCGCCGATTGCAACATCCAGCCATGAGCACTTGTCCGAACACAACCAAACAGACGAGAACCAAGAACAAAGTAAAGGAAGGCCATGGGATTCCACGACAACCAACATAGGACTCCACAAAGACAAATCAAAGAACAACATCAGCCAATTTTCCTTCAAAAATTCACAAACTGAAAATCCAAACAAACATCATCAAAATTTTTTAGATGATCAAGAAACACAAAAACAAAAAGAAAGATTGATTAAACAATTATATGAAAATCCAAACGGGAGCTTTCTCAATTGATCTACATAATTCACCTGTTCAACCACCTCTGAGTGGCTTCTCTGTGGTTTACAAGAGCGCGAATGTAATAGATAAAATAAATTTACAAATTTGCAGAGGGTAACGATTCCGAACCCAATCATTCAATCACAAATGAAACAAATTTACAAGATTGAGAACAAAATCGATGAAATTGATATAACGAGAGCATCATTTTCGAACCTGAACTTCTTGAATCAGGTATCGCAACGGTGACCCACCTGAAAATGATGAACGGATTGCTGCAAATCCTTGTATAAATCGCTTGCAGTTGCAGACATTCGAGCATTCAAAGAAGAAATCATTAGAGCTATAAGAATTCGACGGTGGGAGAGAGAGAGAGAGAGAGAAAGGTTGAGAAGTTAGAGAACTATGAGAGTAAATGGGTGGACGGCTAGGGTTTTGTGTTGAAAAATCTTATAAAGAATTAAAGATCCAAGATTAGTATAAATATTTTACTAATATGATTATAGCAACACAAAGCTTGTTGTCAAGTTGGCTGAAACAAACACTCTCAACCAGGAGGTAAGGGGTTCAAAACCTCTAACCTTTAGATTTTGAGTATTTGTATATGATTTATATAATTAATATATTAAATAAATAATTAAAAAATTGGTTCGGTTCGGTCTGGTTTCTAGACCACCAAAACCAAAATCGAACCAACCTATTTCGGTTCAGTTCGGTTTGGTGTTCGGCTCGGTTTTTTTTTATTTTCGGTTTTTTAAACCCACCCCTATGTTTTGAATCATTGTGGGATGATTTTTTCCATCTCTCTAAGAAATAACAAGGTCTACATTCTCTTGATTTTTATTCTATATTTCTTCTAATATAGTTCTTATATTTTTTTTTTGCAAAACATTCATCTGTGTATACATTGATGAATGTTATCATGGTATCTTCGCCATTGGTTTGGATCTTTTGGTACTTATTTCCGATGTGCTGTGATGATTCGATTGCTGTGAAGATTTCTGGTGATTGAATGATTAAAGGTCTTTTTGAGTCGGGTGATCAGAATTGGAGTTTACCAGGTGTTGCTTTTCTTTTTGCACTCATTTTGTTTGTATAATTATGGCAACGAAGAATTTTCTGTGAAAAAAAAAATTTGAATTTGAAGGCCGATAGCCATTTCTTGATTTTGAACTATGAATATGAAGGCCGATAGCCAGTTCTTGATTGTATAACTAATGAAGTATCTCTATCAAAGCATAAAGGTTGATAGCCATTGCTTTTTTAATTGATTGTTGAATTTTTCACAAGAACAAGGCTGAAGCTAGTAGTGTGTGTTCTTGAAATTGTTGTGGTTCTTGAATATTGTTCAAGAAGTTGGTTTTGTTATTTGCTTCAGATTGCTTGTGATTACAATACTGTAAAGATATAACATTAGTACTGTGAAAATTGAGAGTCTTCTGGGCATGATCACTGTGAAATTGAGAGAAGATAATTTTGTCAAATATGATTATCAGTTTCAGTCAGTTCTTAAGGGCTATGATTTCTTTGATTTCTGTAATGGTGAACCTCAGTGTCCTCTAAAGTATGTCATTAATACTGAGACTGGTGTAACTAAAGAAATCACTACTACTTATAAAGATTGGGTTAATACAGATGTGTCCTTATTGAGTTTGCTTATTGCTACACTTTTGGGTGATGCTAGGGATTATGTCATTGGATGCAAAACCTCTCGAGAAGCTTGGAAATGTTTACAAGAAAGATATGCTTATGTATCAGTTGTCAGGGTTAATCAACTCAAGACTGAATTCCATACTGCACAACAACGTGCTAATTATGTTGATAAGTACTTAGACTAAAAGGTATCGAAGATCAATTGGTTGCTGCATGAGAGAAAATAACTGAGAATGACTTGGTTATTGCTGCTTTATCTGGGTTACCCCGAGAATTTGGGATGATCAAGACAGTAATCCTAGCCAAGAAAACTCCAATTTCAATGAAAGATTTTAGAGCTCA